ATCTACATCTCTAGTGACTACATCGTGAGACAAACGATAATACACTTTATTATTGCATCTACCACGATGAATAACAACAACCTTTTCCTCGACATTGCATAGCCATATGTTACGAAAAAGATGTGCAAGCGGGAGTGCCTTCATTCGGAAAGAAAAGTACTGAGCCCAGATTTCAAGTAAAGTGAGGACGCTGAAAGCTTTGAAAGAAACTGTCAAGTGTGTTTACGGGCCATCTCTTGAATATGGGAATGAACAATCTTTTTCTTTCACTGATACGTGGACAAAAGAAAGCAAAACATGTACGGTAAACTGTTTAAAAGAAACGTTATTATCATTTGTGCTTACTTATCTGTTACCCATTGAATCCTTTTGAGATCTTTTGTGCGATGTCTATTTTTAAAAAGTTTTTATCAATTTAATCATTAATTTAACAAATTAGTAATTAACGCAGAAACGTCTTTGAAAAGTGGGCGGGATTGGGGTTTCCAGGCAAAAAAGGGTGGGATGGCGGGATTAGCAGGAAAAATAGGGCGGGAAAGCGGGATCTGAGAACCCTTTTGTGGACCCTCAACATGTCTGTGCAAGACACAGTAATCACCGTCACTCTAGACGTTCCATTTCAATTACATCTTGTCCTAATGTCAGCTGATTGCTCCGGGAATGGGTCAGCAATAACTACTACTGCAATTTGATGCATTATCCGGCTTGAGATCGAGCCGGATCGGTATGTGTGTGTCTTTTTCTTATTTTCTCTTCTTATTTGACTCAAGTTAATAATCACTTTAAATCACTGGTGGAGGCGCGGCGGCCTCGTGGTTAGTGCGCTCGTCCCCGGATCGAGCGGTCCGGGTTCGAGCCCTGGCCAAGGACACTGTGTTATGTTCTGGGGCAAGAACAGTGCCTCTCTTCACCCAGGAGTATAGATGGGTACCGGCGAATTGTTGGGGAAACCTAACAAAATGCGGGGAAGTGACCTGCGATGGACTAGCATCCCGTCCAGGGGGAGTAGAAATACTCCTGGCCGCTTTTAAAATCACTAAAAGGATGGCTGCCAATCTTATTAGCCCATTAAGGTTATTTCGAGCAGCCATGTACCGTCTTTTTATTTTAATTGATTTTTGTTCATATAACTCTAATTTACGAAAGCCGAGGAGAGACTTCAGACTTCAGACTTCAGACTTCAGACTTCAGACTTCAGTCCCCAGTCTTCAGTCGGAGACCGGATCTCATTGTCTCCGGTGAAAGTGTTTTTTAAATCTGTCATCATGCGTTGTTATGTTTCTTGTCGGAGCCTGTAGTGTACAAATGCGATTTTAATAACGAAATTACCTAAATACCGCGAGAAAAATTCTTTTAACTTTAACTAACTATTAATTTTCCTATTAACACACGTGTATCCTCCATAATACGACAATTTACATGAACACCAAGAGCATCAAATATGGCCACTTTACATAATTTGAATAGCCTCATAAGAAATAACACGCAAACTGCGGTGATAAACATGGCAATAAAACGCATGTTTTTATTGTTATGGTTATCGCCGCAGTTTGCGAGTTATTTCTTACTAAGCTACGATGGCCAAAGAAGAAGGGTATTTACGACATTGAATAGCCTCGTTTTTGTGTTTCCAGACGCAGGTTTTTCAAAGTATCGTTATTCAAATATCATGTACATTTAGACTTTTTTGCAAAGTGTCTATGATCCTGTGGCTTCTTTATTGCTCGCTCCTCTTTTTCTAGACTGCGAGCAGTCTCTCTTTTCTTCGAAAGAACGCAAATCAAGTGAGCGTGTAAGCATGACTGTACATGTGAGCGTGACGTGCGAGTGGTGATACCGCGGCCCGCTAGTAGCGCGGGCCCCACTCCTACATCGCCGTTCGCAAGTCACGCTCGGACGCTTACTTGTTTTGCGTTCTTCTCCATGGACTTTCGAGGAAAAGAGAGGATGCTTACAGTCCAGAAAAAGAGGAGCGAGCAATAAAAGAAGCGACAGGATCATAGACACTTTACAAAAAAAGTACAGTGCATTTGTACAGATCTTGTACACTACAGGCTCCGACAAGAAACATGACAACGCATGATGACAGATTTAAAAAACACTTTCACCGGATACAATGAGATCCGGTCTACGACTGTAGACTGGGGACTGAAGTCTGAAGTCTGAAGACTGAAGACTGAAGTCTGAAGTCTGAAGTCTGAAGTCTGAAGTCTGAAGTCGGCTTTCGTACTAATTGCTATGTTGAGTACAATAAAGTTGTTGTTGTTGTTGTTGTATGTCTCTGGCACTTTCTTTTCCACACCCATATTTTGCCGACAAGATTCTATATGTGATGTTTGTGTGAGTAATTTGGCCAGAGGAGTAATTTTTTTTTTTTTT